CAGCAGAGTTTGGTGCAGAGCGCCCCCACTGTGGTGTACAGCGCCCCTGACGGACGACCTACCACAGCTGTGCCTTTATTTGCATCGTCCAAAACTGCTCCCGCACCTCCGCCAACCTCTTCGTCAGGAGCCTCTGACCGTCGTGCCTCTGGCAACACCCTAAGCAATAGTCTGACTAGGTGCGTACGTGTTTTGGCCTTGCAATTCAAGGCAATAGATAATTCTATAGAGTGAAAAGCTGAGGAAATACATAGCTGAGGAAATTCCATTAACATTTAATGTTAATGGAATTTCGTAAGTGTATACGAAATTCCACACACGGGGTTTTAATGGAATTTCGTAGAATGAGTTTTCTTGGAAGGCAATAAGAATTTTCTAGCACTCAAAGAAATGAGTGAGATTTAATCCAAATAGCAAAGCATTTTTTGCCCTCATTGGGTCATCCTGCTCAGTGTTTCCCGTGTGTAACAGTGCTGTGTCTATCCTGTGTTCATGCTGTGGCTAAGAAATGGTGTAACCATTTGGACAATATATCCCACAGGTTTGTTTTCCTGACTTAGGCAATGCCTTTTGCATTGGAATATTTATATAAGTTGTAATTTCAGAAGTCACATGATGAGAATGTTTATTGAGTTCTAAAAGAACTGATGCCACACTCGTACCGCTAGTAGAATCGGCAAGCTTGCAGGACATTACGAGCTCTATATTTTATAGGGCGGATTGGTTTAGTGCCAACGCGAATTGTTTATTTTGAGCCAAATTTTCTAATGTATAAATGTTTTTATTCTTTCTGATTTCAAAGAAAATGTATGTTTAAAAAAATGTATGCTTCAAACAAAATTTTTGTTACAAAGAAAATTTTTGTTTCATAGAAAATTTTTATTTCAAAGAAATTTTGCGTTTCAAAGAAAATTTTTGTTCCAAAGAAAATTTTTATTAGAAATAAAATTTTTGGTACAAAGAAAATTTTTGTTTTAAATAAAATTTTTGTTTCAAAGAAAATTTGCATTTCAAAGAAAATTTTTGTTTCAAAAAATATTTGCGTTTCAAAAAAAATTTTTGTTCCAAAGAAAAGTTTCAGAGAAAATTTTTGTTTCAAAGAAATTTTTGATTCGAAGAAACCTTATGTTTTAAGGAAAATTTTTGTTCCAAAGAAATTTTTGATTCAAAGAAAATTTGTGTTTCACAACAAACTTTAATTAAATATTAGTTTATTTTCAGCGTGCAGTTAGCGAGCGGCGCGATGGGCCGGCCGACGCTGCAAGGAGTGAAGGAATTCTTCAGGAGCAACCTGCTCCCCTTCCTGACCATCTCGGGGGTCGTGGGGGGCGTGGTGCTGGGGCTTACTNAGGTACTCTAAGGAACTCTATTGCAGGTACTCTAAGGTACTCTATTGCATGTACTCTAAGGTACTCTATTGCAGGTACTCTAAGGTACTCTTGTGCAGGTACTCTAAGGAACTCTACTGCAGGTACTCTAAGGTACTCTATTGCAGGTACTCTAAGGTACTCTATTGCAGGTACTCTAAGGTACTCTTGTGCAGGTACTCTAAGGAACTCTATTGCAGGTACTCTAAAGTACTCTATTGCAGGTACTCTATTGAAGGTAGTCAAAGGTACTCTATTACAGGTACTCTAATGTACTCTATTTCAGGTACTCTAATGTACTCTATTACAGGTACTCTATTGCAGGTACTCTAAGGTTTATAATGTATATGTATTACAGAGACTCTAAGGTACTCTATTGCAGGTACTCTAAGGTACTCTATTGCAGGTACTCTAAGGTACTCTATTGCAGGTACTCTAAGGTACTCTATGGCAGGTACTCTAAGGTACTCTATTACAGGTACTCACGCGAGGGCTCATGGACCAAGCGCGAGATTATGTACGTCGGCTACCCCGGCGAGATACCAGCCATACCTCGGGTCAGGTCCCAGCCATACCTCGGGTCAGGTCCCAGCCATACATCGGGTCAGGTCCCAGTAATATCTCGGGTCATGTCCCAGTAATACATCGAATCATGTCCCAGAAATACATCGGGTCAGGTCCTAGTAGTGAAGGACTTGACACACACGAAGGGCCCGGGACAGTTACCTTGGGTCAGGTCCCAGTAGTGGTAGGATTTGACACACACGAAGGGCCCGGGACAGTTACCTTGGGTCAGGTCCCAGTAGTGGTAGGACTTGACACACACGAAGGGCCCGGGACAGTCCCGCCAGAAGTCCTGCCGCGTGGTGTGGGGCGCCGCGAAATCTTCGCAGGATCGCCCGTTCGGCGCCCCCGTGCCGCACTCGTAGCACCACAGCGCACCTGCAACATGCTAAATGTGTTGAATATGTTGAAAATATCTTAAATATGTCATATGTGTTTAATATGTTATAGACGTTAAATATGTTATATATGTTATGTATGTTAAATATGTTGAAAATGTTGGCTGTGCTGATCATATTGAACATGTTGACTGTGCTGACTATGTGGACCATGTTGCCACGTGGAGCATTTGTACCACGTTAGCTGTGTTGATCATGCAGACTAAGTTGACAATTATGACCATACTGACAATAATTATGACTGTGTAGATCATGCTTACTTGTGACTACGTTGACAATTTAAATGTGTTTACTATATGGAAAATGTTAATTAAGTGGACCATGTTAACTATGATGAACCTCGTTGATTAGTTGACTCTGTTGACCACGTTGTGTAAGTGTATTGTCCACCCTGGTAGTGGCAAGTTGGGAAGAAAGTAGATGATTGTTGGTAACATTTTTGATAGATTATACTTAGTTGTTCACTCCGTTGAATATATTTATCTTATCTATAACTATACCGTAAGAGGGTTTATATATTATATTAACTCTATACATTGATCCTAAGCACTTCAATGCTGAACTAACAAGACAAATATTTAATGGAGCATAAACGATACAGAACATTTCTCTGTGAAATACAGAAGTTAGCGGATAAATCTTGAACATTTTATATGTAACATGGAGCGATAACAGTCTTATTTCCTTAACACATTCAAGTCTCACCAGTCATGTGAAGGCAGCTACATAAAATCCCGAGGATGAAGAACATCGCTCGCCTCTGCGCAGTAGAATGTCTGATGTAGAACGAGGTTCTTAGACTTGGTCAGGTTAGGTTAAGTCAGGTTAGGTTAGGTTCGGTTAGTTTAGGTTTGGTTCTTTACAGTCAACACTTGGTGGCATGCCTGCTGCTCTAATTTAAGATTTAATTATCACAGCCAAAATTCGTAATTCATCAAGGTTCCTTATTTCATCGCTCTGTGAACTTTGCCGAATTTCCTGTTATATCAATCGTCTAAAAATCTTGCATCATCACTGAACGGCAAAATAAAACTCGATATTAACTCACGATTTGATTGGCATTAACTTTGCTCCAAAATACCTATTTTTTAGCTTAGTCTGAATATCAAGTAAATTTTCACAGATCTTGTAACACTGTGCCAGGCATCACAGTTCATGTCACACTGTGCCAGGCATCACAGCTCATGTCACACTGTGCCAGGCATCACCTGTCTCTTATACACATCTAGATGTGTATAAGAGACAGTGTGAGTGGTACGACGTGTGAGTGGTACGACGTGTGAGTGGTACGACGTGTGAGTGGTGCGACGTGTGAGTGGTGCGACGTGTGAGTGGTGCGACGTGTAAGGCCTTATCATGGTCGTAAAATTAACAACTTATCTCTTGTCTCTTGTTCGCTGAATGGAGGCATCACAGCTCGAGGCGCCCCATCTCACCTCTTGTAACGGACGTTTTTATTGTGGCATAACCGAACCTTCCTATCTTATCACGATGTCGCGTATAAAAATCATATAACTCTTAGCTTATAAACTTCAAATGTGTTCTAGCTCATCAACTTGACGCGTGAGCATACTACGCATGTCGCTCTACAGTCTAATGCGCATTAGTTTACTGCGCATGTCGTCTACTGCAGACCCTCACTTTGCTAGCAGCGCTGCAGTAACTACCACAATTGTCGCTGCACTACCGCTGAACGGCCCTCAGCAACTCCTTAAGCAATAAAACCCCACGTAATAATACCTAACATCAACACCCAAGAGACCTGTTCTAATAATAATACCCGAGCCCAGCACCCCATCTTCAGAACTCTTTAAAGCAACACTCCCACCATCAACACCCAGCACTAGATGGCCAACTTAAGCCATGTTGTCTTAGATTGGAAAGGTCAGCTTCCTCCATGTACTGTACCAACCTGCAGCCAATCACTTTTTAAAACACTTTATTTAAATGCGATATTAATATAACTACTCGAAATTAATGACATGTCTCTTGCATCCTCTTTGTAGTGGAGTTAACAGCCCAAACTAGATGGAACTAGAAACGTTTCCTTCTCTCATCATGTTTTCCAAAGCGAAGTCAGTGAGACATTCTGTTCACCGACACATTTTTCAACAACACCGCTAAGACTCCATCTGGCTCAGGAACCGAACGATACTCCTCTCTAGATCCGATGTTTCAAACTTGATGCTCATCAGTACCCGCTCCCTGGATGTTCCTGAAAGGCTTACATCTCTTTTTCTGGTTTGGGTATCGAGTATTTCTGAACCCTTAGTCAAATTTCATTACTAGCAGTTCGCACATGCCTATAGTTCGTCTCCAAAGAGGAAGTCATTTTCAGAGGCCCACTTTGGCCCTGATTTTGGCTTTAGACTGGGCAAATTTGTAGAAATATTTGTGATTTTCCCGAATGGCACTCACCACNCTACATGACGACGACGGTGAGCGCCGTGGTGCTCGGCATCATCCTGGTGGTGTCCATCCGCCCCGGCGCGGGGGGCGAGGAGGGCATCAAGAAGGCCGGCTCCCCCAACGAGGCCAACACCCCCGACCTCCTCATGGACCTCGTCAGGTACTCCACTAAATACTTGGGCACTCAAAGCTTAACTAAATACTAAAGGCTTCGTACCTCGTTGCCTGACAAATTCACGCTTGGCTCACACTCTGACTCTTCAAAGTTCTTCAAAGTTTATTTTCACGCGTATCTTGTCAAAATCATCAGAACTGGCGGCGGTTTGGCCGTTGCGAGGTTTGTATCCACAGGTCAGCTTCTAAAATCCTCCGCCTAAACTTTAAATACGATCATTTTCAATAACATTTTATTTTTCACTTCTATTTGGATCATTAATTTGCGTACATTGAATATAATGCTTATGCTTTATAATAATTTCGGAGCATTTTAGTTTGCTCGGAATTCACTTCCATCGAATTATTATGAATTTGCTTGACATTTTGTTCGATTTTAAATGTTCGTTCTTTAAGGCTATCCTTGATCTCCGCTGACCAAATCCGTTGAAGGTGTGATAGGATCTAGAACAATCATGTAGATTGTTGCCGCTCTAACATTTCTACATAGATTTTATTTCTTCACTAAATTATCAACGAAGATTGCTGCCTTGAAATTCCTTTTATTATCTTCATCTACTCATTTTTCCTATAAATTTAATCACTGGTAAAATTGCAAATATTGACCAAAAGTTTCATGTAAAGGTACGGTTTTGGTGCAGCATTTGTCTGCCATTCTGAGCTTGGAACTTCTGGCAGTAAACCGAGATGCCGAAGCTTTTTACTTCACTCACGAGTTATATATTCGCATGAATAAGATCATTCATAAGCGCCGCTATTACATAATATTTATTGCAAGTTACTTCAAGTGTTACTCGGTCGTGCTACTGAGTTTGTTTTGAGAAGCTGCTTACCGTACAGACTTGATTATGAGTAATAAACTCGTGCGCCTGAATCGCTCGCTTGTGTTTTAATTGCTCCATTTTTAAACATTCGCAGAACTTTTAAAATGAATTTTTTTCTGTCTTTCTGATATATTTTTTCTGCTCAATAAGAGGCAAATGTTACTCTTTAAATGCACGACTAAGCATTGGTATACAGAGCGCACTTATAGCGTAGCTAGCCTTTCAACTGTTGTACTTTACTAGTCATCAGTTAAAACCTGTTACTAATCGGTATAACTTATTAGTTGAGCGCACATGTAATTTAGCTAGACTAGACAAGGCTAGGTATATTAAACTAGATGTCAGGATCAACCTGTTACTGGTCGTAACAGGTTGATCCTAAATCTAGTTACAAGGTTACTGGTCGTAACCTTGTTCAATGCCCACCTGCAATTCTAGTGGCCGCCAGTAGAAACAAGTTACTATTGGCCGCCAGTAGAAACAAGTTACTAGTGGCCGCCAGTAGAATCAAGTTACTAGTGGCCGCCAGTAGAAACATGGTCGCTTGCCACTCCATTTTATGCACGGCTCGCGTCGCACATACAGCACGAATACTTCATATATTTCTTCTGCACTATTCCGACCTCAGCTTATGGCCTGAATTTTTAGATTTTATTGCGGATTTATTTCCTAATTTTTGACTTTCATTTGCAGGAACATCTTCCCCCCAAACCTCATCCAAGCCTGCTTCCAGAATGTAAGTTTTTATGTTGCGCGTCTCGTTTTTTTATTTCAATAACAAAACTTCTCATAATTGCTACCACGAACAACACGGCACCTCGAACAACACGGCACCACGAACAACACGGCGCCACGAACAACACGGCACCACGAACAACACGGCACCACGAACAACACGGCACCACAAACAACACGGCTCAATGAACAACCCACCCCGAAAATTACCTATACCTTATCATTTAATATGAAATGAAGCGCCGTCGATGTTATTCATGCCTTGAGATCTAAAGGCAATAGTCACCGTCGATATAAAAGTGTTAAGTGAAAACATTTGTCGGCCGCTCCGTCCCGCCATGCTAATTGTTTTATGGAAACTTGGCATGCAGCTTAGCTTCATTTTTTCCTAATTATGTTCAGAAAGTATGCCCTTAATTTTTATCTTCCTGTGTCTTTCTATTTACGTTAAAATTCTCTCGCTAATCATAGCAATTATCAGTACAGCAATTGTTTTACAAGGACAATATTTGTATGTGTTTGATATTTGAGACTTATCCGGCGGAAATTGAAATCGTCCCAACCATTGAACAGTTATCTTCAACAATGTTTATTATTATATTAGAGGCTTTGAGGCAAGCATTATTCTCTTTCTGTCATAACTGCAGTCAGCTGCAATAATGAGTTGCTGTCGCATTTCATTCAAGCAGAGACTTGACACTTTTCGCCGCATTCAAGTAACATTTTCGGCAAAGTGCAGAGTGAAGTTAATATGTTCGCAAGCAGCATGGAGTGCAAAGTGGCAACTTCAAAATTTATAAATTGCTTAGGGATAAGTTTTAACAGTTTTCTTAGTCAAAGATATGCCAAAAAATGAATATTGACCGTTTCTTATGCCTCAGAGCTGCCGACAGAGAGGTAGTGAAAGTTTTTCTTGTCACAAATTGGTCAGATAATAGCAGTTCCTCATGCCACAAATGCACCTCTAACTACCGCAAGTGTGTAGGAAAAGTTTTATCAGTTCCTATCGTAACAAATGCGCAGAAAGAAGAATTTTAACATTTCATCTTCTCGTTGACGTGCCAAAATTTGAATATTGGCAGTGATTGTGGCGCAGAGGTGCCGTGGGGTGAGTATTGACCGTTTATCATGTCCGAAAGGGGTAATATATAAATATTGACTGATTATTGAGCGGCAAAGGTGCGAGCGAGAAGTATTAGTAGTTTACTCTGCTGACGGTTCGGAAAGTTGTACTTGAATAGTTCTTAATACCACATATGTACCGAAGAAGTAGTACTAATAGTCTCATGATCTGTAAAACTGCATCGGGAAAGTAATATCATCCTCTTGTACCGCAGTCGTGCCGAAGGAGGAGTACGACATCTCCGGGTCCTACCGTGACGGCATGAACATCATGGGACTCGTGTCTTTTGCCACGATGCTCGGCGTGTCTCTGTCGGTGCTGGGACCGAAGGGCAAGCCTCTGCTGGACATGTTCACCGCGTTGTCAGACGCCACCATGATNTGATTGGACTTCTAAGTAAAGTCTTGCGTCGTGGCAGACCTAATGGTTGATTGGACTTCGAAGTAAAGTCTGGCGTCGTGGCAGATCTAATGGTTGATTGGACTTCTAAGTAAAGTCTTGCGTCGTGGCAGACCTAATGGTTGATTGGACTTCGAAGTAAAGTCTGCCGTCGTGGCAGATCTAATGGATGATTGGACTTCTAAGTAAAGTCTGGCGTCGTGGCAAATCTAATGGTTGATTGAACTTCTAACTATAGTCTGGCGTCGTGGCAGATCTAATGGATGATTGGACTTCTAAGTAAAGTCTGCCGTCGTGGCAGATCTAATGGTTGGTTGGACTTCTAAGTATAGTCTGGCGTCGTGGCAGACCTAATGGTTGATTGGACTTCTAAGTATAGTCTGGCGTCGTGGCAGATCTAATGGTTGGTTGGACTTCTAACTATAGTCTGGCGTCGTGGCAGATCACCAGCCATACCTCGGGTCAGGTCCCAGCCATACCTCGGGTCAGGTCCCAGCCATACATCGGGTCAGGTCCCAGTAATATCTCGGGTCATGTCCCAGTAATACATCGAATCATGTCCCAGAAATACATCGGGTCAGGTCCTAGTAGTGAAGGACTTGACACACACGAAGGGCCCGGGACAGTTACCTTGGGTCAGGTCCCAGTAGTGGTAGGATTTGACACACACGAAGGGCCCGGGACAGTTACCTTGGGTCAGGTCCCAGTAGTGGTAGGACTTGACACACACGAAGGGCCCGGGACAGTCCCGCCAGAAGTCCTGCCGCGTGGTGTGGGGCGCCGCGAAATCTTCGCAGGATCGCCCGTTCGGCGCCCCCGTGCCGCACTCGTAGCACCACAGCGCACCTGCAACATGCTAAATGTGTTGAATATGTTGAAAATATCTTAAATATGTCATATGTGTTTAATATGTTATAGACGTTAAATATGTTATATATGTTATGTATGTTAAATATGTTGAAAATGTTGGCTGTGCTGATCATATTGAACATGTTGACTGTGCTGACTATGTGGACCATGTTGCCACGTGGAGCATTTGTACCACGTTAGCTGTGTTGATCATGCAGACTAAGTTGACAATTATGACCATACTGACAATAATTATGACTGTGTAGATCATGCTTACTTGTGACTACGTTGACAATTTTAAATGTGTTTACTATATGGAAAATGTTAATTCAGTGGACCATGTTGACTTTGATGAACCTCGTTGATTAGTTGACTATGTTGAGCATGAAGGTAGTGGCAATTGTCCATCCTGGTAGTGGCAAGTTGGGAGGAAAGTAGATGATCGTTGGTAACATTTTTGATAGATTATACTTAGTTGTTCACTCTGTTGACTATATTTATCTTATCTATAACCATACCGTAAGAGGGTTTTTATGTTATATTAACTCTATACATTGATCCTAAGCACTTCAATGCTGAACTAACAAGACAAATATTTAATGGAGCATAAACGATACAGAACATTTCTCTGTGAAATACAGAAGTTAGCACATCAATCTTGAACATTTTATATCTAACATACAACGCTGACAATCTTACAGAGAGGAAAATAAGTATTTAGTCAGTCACCAATTGTGCAAATTCTCCCGCATAAAAAGATGAGAGGCCTGTAATTGACATTATAGGTAGACCTCAACTATATGAGAAAAAATATGCAAAAATGAAAAAATCATTTGTTACACTTTTAAAGAATTTATTTGCAAATAATGATGGAAAATAACTTTTTGGTCACCTACAAACAAGCAAGATTTCTGGCTGTTACAGACCTGTAACTTCTTTTTTTAAGAGACTTCACTTTCCCCCACTCATTACCTCTATTATTGGAACTTGTTTGAAGTCGTTAACAGTATAAAAGACACCTGCCCACAATCTCAAACAGCCACACTCGAAACTCCACTATGGTGAAGACGAAAGAGTTGTAGGAGGACACCAGAAACCGAATTATAGACCTGCACCAGGCTGGGTAGACCGAATCTGCCATATGCGAGCAGCTTGATATGAAGAAATCTATTGTGGGAGCAATAATCAGAAAATGGAAGACCTACAAAACCACTACTAATCTCACTCGATCTGAGGCTCCACGCAAGATCTCACAGCTCGTGGGATCAAAACGATCACAAGAACGGTGAGGAAAAATCCCAGAACCACAAAGGGGATCTAATGAATAACCTGCAGAAAGCTGGGACCAACGTTACAAAAGCTACCATCAGTAACACACTACGACGCCAGGGACTAAGATCTTGCTGTGCCGGATGAGTCCTCTTGCTCAAGCCAGTCAATATCCAGGCACATCTTAAATTTGCTAGAGAGCAGTTGGATGTTCCAGAAGAGTATTGGGAGAATGCCATATGATCAGATGGAACCAAAGCAGATGTTTGGTAAAAACCCAACTCGTCGTCTTTTGAGGGAAGTGAATGCGGAGTTGCATCCATAGAACACCATACCAGCTGTGAAGAATGAGGGTGGCAACATCATGCTTTGGGGCTGTTTCTCTGCAAAGGGACCAGGACGGCTGGTCCGTGTACATGAAGAATGAATGACAGAGTGGCTTCTTAAGAAAAATTTTAAAGACCTGGAACGGCCTAGCTAGTCTCCCGATCTCAACCCCATCGAAAACCTTTAGAATAGAATAGAATAGAAGTGTCGGCGTTGAAGAAATAGGCCCATGGCCTATTGCCGATTCTTGAACTTTTCGTGACTTGATTCACAAGGGATCCGGCCTTTGGAACCCGATCTTTCCATAGCTGACGATTGATTGAGATAGCTGCTGGACTTATTGCCTGCTCCGTAATTTGCTAGGCATTTTAAGACTGAACATATGCTCCTGCATAGTTCGTCTAGTCTGTTTTTGAAGATGTTCATACTCGGAGCTTCAACGATGCTATCAGGGAGGCTGTTCCACATGTCGGTGACTCGAAGCGAGAAGAAATGTTGTCGCATGGATGTGTTCCAACGCTGTTTTTTTAGTTTATAGCCGTGGCCCCTGGTGTTGGTTCTTGTTTCAAATTCTAGTAATCCTTCTGGGACCTTGTATAAGCCATTAGTATATTTGTATACTTCAATGAGGTCCCCACGCAGACGTCGATAATGGAGGCTTGGAAGCTTCATAATCTTTAATCTTTCCTCATAGGACTTGCCTTTCAAGCCCGGAACTATCCTTGTTGCGCGTCTTTGAACACTCTCTACTAAATTTTTGTCCTTTTCAAATTTCGGTGACCACACGACGTTTCCAAACTCCAGGTTCGGGCGCACGACAGCAACAAACAACTGCTTCATCGTTTCTAAATCTAGGAACTCGAAAGAGCGTCTGATCAGTCCAAGTCGTTGATTGGCTTAATTAACTTGACCTTCAATATGCTTGGAAAATTTCAACTCATTTTCGATATTAACTCCTAAATCCTTTTCCGTTGTCGACTTCGACATCATCACTCTGTCGTTGCAGCCGTGTCTTCTCATACTGTAATCTTGCT